AAACACTTATTTCACTCACAATATTGCTTGGTTTAAAACGAGATTTTTGCCACTTAGTTTGTCGCAAAAACCACTCTTGAAGGCATTTGATTCAAAACAAACAAAATAAAAGGAAAAATAAATAAATAAATAAGGGATTGATGGAGTGGTGGGAATCAATATTCAATCAAGTAGGTCACCACCGCTGCAAGTGGTGAGAAGTGAACATAGAAGGAAAAAGTGAGGAAGAAGATGGTATAAGGGTTTTAGAGTTGATGGGGGCATTATGGGTATTAAGAATAGTTTAAATGGGCAGAACCGGAATGAAAAACAAGAGCATTTCTTGAAAATGCAAGAAAACCATAAAAACCGCCGTCAGCTATTTTTTATAATAGGCTTTTTTTTTGGTGAAAACTGCTTTTTCGCCAAATACTTTTTTGGGGGTGCTTTTGGCTTCTAAGCCCCAACAAATATGGCCTAAGTTAGATTTGTATATTTTTCAGCAACAGTATTAGTAATAATCAGATTTGAGGATGTGATTCATTTATTAATTATATCCATTTGGGAATTGTTTGAAGTTTGAACCAATCCGTTAATCTGATTCAGTTTCGTCGTGGAAAAACCTATGCTACCAGAAAGAAATGATACTTGATGTGTTTTGACCAATCAAAAACCCTAGTGAATTAAATTTGATAAATATATAGCAGCTGACCGTATGTTGCAAATGGATCGGATTTGATAGAATCAATAGTAGATCAGATATGTTCGGATCTTATAAATACTGATTTGAATTCAAACCGTTTTAGGTATTGGAATATGATCTGATTCAATTTAATTTTGGAAATTAAAAAAAATACATTAATTTATGTAAAGAAAACAAAAAAGTATATAAGTATTTTCTTCAATTATTTCTATCATATATACATGTCTGTGTAAGATTGGACCAGATCTATTTGAATTGGATAGTGGATGATTTGAATTCAATCCAATATGAAAATCCAATAAGAGTATATCCAAATCTGACAAAATAGGATCGGATTTCAGATTGGATCATGATCTAATCCATTTGTACCCCTACCTAATTGATTACCACTTTTATGATACTGATTGATTGGTTGGTTATAACTTATAAGATTTTACAATAATCTTCAAGTAGGGCAACATAAAAAAAATATCCTATTTAAGTAGTTTGTTGGCTATGGCTATAATATCTAGACTCTGGATCTCCTACCCACAAGAACACTGCCCATGCCTACCCACAATACACTACCCCCTTGTGAATTGGGAACATCTCCCCCTGCATAATACTATGCAAAGGATGAGATGTCCTCCATGTATGGCTTCAATAAATGTGGGTAGAGTTCTCGTGGGCAGGAGATCCAGACTCTAATATCTAGATTGATAATGTTGATTAGGTCTTCTACTGGGCTCTATAAATTATTGTTGTCATTATTGTCTCTACTCACTACTGTTGTTATTGTAGTTAGGGGTGTAAATGGGATCGAATTTGAATTCAACATGCAATATCTAAATTCAATTCCAATTAAAAAATTTGATATTCGAATTTGATTATTCGGTTCAATTTGAATATTTGATTAATAAATATATATAATAAATATTTTATCTTTATAAAATATAAAAATATACAAATTATTTATATAATTTAATTATATATAAATTATATAAAAATGTTTAAATATTTATATATATTACATAATAATTAAATTGGTCGAATTAGAATATTTATCAAATTGATCTAGGTCATATATAGATTCAACTAATTATGATGTTCAAATTATCCAAATTCGATTTGATTATATTGAATATTGAATTCTAAATTAGATTTTTGAATACCATTGGCACCCCTAATTGTTGCCTTGTCCTTGTGTGTTTCTATTCTGCTTTTTATTTATAGAGTCATTTACTAAAACACCCCTATAGTTTCATGAATTTACTAAAACCTAATTTGTAATTTACATTTTACTAAAGCATCCCTATAGTTTACAATCAATTTACTCAATCGACCTTCCATTAAAGAAAGTAGAAAATGATAGTTTTCGGACCTAACATTCATTTGAATAATTTAATCAAAAGATAATTAAATTAAAAAATAGGTTGAAATAAACAATCATATACTGATACACATTTTTCACTATGTTTAGGTGACCGGTTACTATTTTAAGATGGCAAATCAAACATCATTTCTTAATAAAAGGTTAAGTAAGTATGTTGCAAACTATAAGAGGGGTTTTTTAGTGAAATGGAAACTATAGGGTAAGTTCAAATAAATCCATGAAACTATAGGGATTTTTATTAAAATGAAAATTACGGTGAATGACAACATCAAACATGATTTGTTTCGAAAATGGATTTGATATGCTGCGTACAACATATATTTTGTTTTTGTCAAGGTTTTTAAAATCAAACCAGACAATGAACCGGCCAGACCATTCAAACCGAACGAACAACCCATTTTGACAAAAAAATAAAAAATTAAAAAAAATAAAAACAACCAAAACCATTAGACAGTTTGAACAGTTCAACCACCTAGGTTAACAGTTTGCTGACCAAATCAACAGTTTTTAGCAAAATAACAGTTGTAAGGTAAAATGGAACCGGTCACCCAACTGGTTAATTTTTCTAGTCCAACTGTCTGATCTGGTCTGGTTTTGAAAACCATGGTTTTTGTTTAATTTTTTAGATTCATGTTGATTTAGTACAATTATAAGCATGATTTTCGAACTGCCGTTGACTAGACAGTCAAACCATTCAATCCGAGAACCATCCAAGCAATTGGTTCCATTTTACTCCAAGCTCGGTCAATGGCCAAAAACCGTTGACCCAGGCAGTTGAACCGTCAACCCATTCGACCCGTTCAATGGTTTATGACTGTTTTTAATTTTTATTTTTTTATCAGAATGGGCCACCCATTCAGACCGAAGAGTTGAACCGTCAACCTGGAAACCGGTGGCCAGAAAGGTTCCGGTTCCGGGTTATTTATTAAAACATTGATTATAAGCCCACGACGAAAGCCGCTTTGTAGAAAAAGTTACACGCCACCCCTTAAGAAATAGGTAAGTTAGAGATGGAAAGAAAGTAGAGCAATTACAAGGGGAAATAACAAGACACCGGTACAACCCCTTCTTCGTTACTGTGACAACATTTCCTTGTCTACTTATTCTTAACTGATTTAAAGGAAGAAGTGAATTATGACTTTATGAGCACAGAAGCAAGCGATACTGCCACTAAAATGCACCCAGCCTGAGATTGACTCCACAACTTTCAGCATACCAAGTTGATTCTTGATTCACTTCCATGACAAACCATAGTAGAATCTATCAAAGCAAGCCTAGCAGAACCCAACAATCACAACCGCTGCCTTGATTTCCATGACAAATCATAGTAGGAATTTTCTAAGCAAGCCTGGCAGAACCTGCCAATTACAACCACTGTCCATTCACTGCATATCTGAGTGGCTTAAATCTGTTTCTGTTACATATTCTCCTTAACTACCTTGAAGCATGATACTCACAGATAAGCCAAGAAAGACTACCGGTTCGGTCCAAAAAAAAGGTCCACGGTTCGGTTACCTGAACCGTGAACACCCCTACTAATCCTGACTAAAGTTAAAGGGGAAAAAAACAGCATCATTTTGTGTGACAGACAAATTGATCTCGACATATTCAAGAAATACTTAAACATGAATTTCTTCTGGCTGAAAAAAAAAGAAACTAAAATAGATGTGTTCTGAAACAGGACAAAAGCACACTGAACTAAATTTTGAGCATCAAGGGCATAGAGGAGCATAGGAAAACTTGGGAAGGAAATGTAAAATAATTCTGCAGAGATGGATGGGTAGTAAAGGAACACATTGATTCAATATATTAATGCCTGTGACTGTTCAATTAGAAACATTGATTCAATATATTAATGCCTGTGACTGTTCAATTAGAAACATTGTGTGCATCCATACAACTTGGGAGCTTTGATCATTATCATTATTCAAGCCCAACTATATGGGGTAAGCTACATGAATCCTGTTTCGCCATTCCATTCTGTTAAATGCCAATATCCATTGTTAAGTTATTGGCGCTCAAATCATTTCCCACAACTTATACACATGTCCTTTTTCATCTACCCCTCGCCCTTCTAGCCCCTTCAACAGGGACCTTTGATGAGATAAAAAAAAGAGAAAAAAAAGGAAAAAAAGAAGATTTAAATCCAACTAGGGTTGGGAAATATCTGATCATGGTAACCCTAAAACATCTATTCCCTACCTGCTTTAATGCAAGAAACTGTACCATTTCCAGGGAGAGATTTTTACATACCTTTTGATGCTGAAATTTTTAATATGAAACTTAGCAAGACAAATACCTTTTGATACTGAAAATTTTCATATGAAATTGGCAAGATAAAATCAACTCATTCAGTGGCCCCACAAAATTCCAATGGCAGTTGCATGCTGACCAAAAAACTGTCTGTAGCTATTCCAGATCCTATATCAACGAAATTAGACCCAGGGTAATCATAAAAAAGAGATGAGAAGCAACAACTGAAAAGTAGAAGAGTAACAAAAATATGAAATAATGAACATTGCAAAATCTAAGAGAGAAGTACCCATGAATATGGCCTCATGTTTTGTTGATAAATGGTTAAGAATTGATTCTGTCCCAACTTGCATGTTGCACCCAAGACTATTTGGAGTTCTCAAACCTTTCAAACCATGTCTTGCACTTCCAAGAAGACAAGGGACAAAAACACTACTGGAGTGTCAGTCATCTTCCTCATCCTTTTTGCATCAGCATAGCCATGGCTGAAAAATTCTAAAGGCAGGTGACAGAGAAAAGAAATGGAAAAGAACAGCAAAGTGGATCTAAGAATTCAGCTAGCAAGGTGGTGACACATAGCATCTAGATATGCACAACTCAGAGGAATTCTATGAGCACAACTAAAGAGAAAAGAATCAATATAAAGTTTTAATGTTTTCATCTAACTCAACTGATGTAGGCATTTACCTCATGGTCCTTGAGAACAACTCAACTTCCACATTCTTGGAAAAGATCCATTTGAATCCTGACAACTCAGCTGTAAGTTTATTCTTCTAGAGTCCTTCAAGCATAAAAATAGCATCATAAGTGAGAATTAAATAGTATGTGCAAACCAACAGGGCCACCTTTCAAGAAGAAACTGGTCAGATAGAATTTCTTATGTCATAGTTTCTACTTCCATCTGTTTTTCTCATCAGATGTTTTACATGTCACAAACCTAATAATTGTTTTTCAGGGAAGGGGGAGGAAATAAAAAAAGGAAATGACAAACGCCCAATTTCCAATGGCAAACCCACTATTGGCACAATTTGAATTTCACATGATCAAATCATATTATTAGTGATTGATAGCATAGAAGAAAGAAGGTTTTGTTCTCAAAGACACTATTAATTCTCCTAAAGAAGGTTTGACAGCTTATCCTAATCACAGTATATCCTCTGTGCAATAAATCAGACACTAAGATTTTCTCAAGGTGAAATTTATATACAAGAAGGAATATGAATTTGTGACAAGATAAACTCTCCTCCATGAACGGGTTTTCTACATTTGAAAGGAAGAACAACAAAACAAATAACTAAAGTATCAGATCATTCAATTGATGCTATCTTCTTCTGTGACAACCTCTTTCTAGCCTCCATAATAGCCTCAAGCCTTTTCTTAGATATGTCCTTTATTGCTTCCTGGTATTGCAATTCAATCACCTCCAACTCCATTCTTATTTCCTCCTCATCATCGTCATCAGCTAAAACCGCTGAGGAAGAATTGCTTGGATTACTTGAAAAGGTTGGCAAGTTATCGCTGCCTGTGTTGATAGCAGTTTTGTCATCAAGAGGTGGACCTATTTCAACTCCAGAAAGAGATTCTAGAACTTCTCTTTTCATCTCATATTCAGTAAAATCCATAAACCCAGACTCTGCAGTCATGCACCTTGTGAAGGAGCAATTCTTTCCATTTCCTTCAGTAGAGAATGCAGAAATAAATGAAACCCCAGAACTTCGGTCATCTGCCATGGGTGAATTTTGGAAGCCAAAATCAGCATGAGACATGGTTTCATCAAGATTTCCATGGTCATGAACTTCATGCATTGGCTGAGTAGATCCTTTGACAAAAAAAGAATCACGGAAAGATGGTAGGCTCAATAGGTTGGGAACTACCAGACCATTTTGGAATGATCCAGCTGAGCTTTGTCCATATTCAAGTAATTGATCCTTGCTACGGTCTTCTGGGTTTTGGGTCCCATTTGGAGGAACCAGCTGATCAACAGGAACACAAGGTTTCCAATTGGGTATCAAGTTTATCAACAACAAATCAATCAACTCAGCTATAAACATAACATTCTGATCAGCTAGTTCCAATTGCTCAACCATTTCACTAGAAACTGAAAGGGCTGTGTCGCTGTTGAGATAAAATAGGAAATGTATATTCCTCACTCGCCCTGCATTAAGAGCAGAAAAATTAAGTGTCCACCTAAATACCTAAGAACATGAACACTTAGAGTGAACATGAATACCAAAGAATATCCTTACCCTTATGTTCACCACTCTGATCTGCAATCCTTAGGATTAGTGATACAGAGTTCTCATCACTCCTCTCTCCTTTCAACTTGAAATAATTGCCCCTATTTGTCCTTTGAACCTCCAGACATGGACTATGAGAACCCCCATCAACAGAATTCTCAATAAATGTGATGACAGGTGGTTCACCAATATCATCAGCATCCACCTCCATGGGAAGAGGTGATTTCTGCATACTAGTAGGCTCCACCGAGAGCACACAACGATCCCCAAATGCCCCTGATCTGGGTGGAACAATATCAGGAAGTAGTAATGGAGAATTCCTGGCAAAACCATCCACTTGAAGAAATGGATCTTTCAAGAGCACTTTTGCCGGCAATCTTTGAGCTGCCGGAACCAAACACTTCTCTATAAACAATTTCATTTCTGGATCTTTCACCTTAGAGAGGGAAGCAGGTTTTATTCCCTACAAAATTATTTAGAGATAAATTAACTAACTAATTTTAGTGATAAATCATAGGCTATTGGAAAATATAAAGTTTCTACTATGCCGACTTACAGATGAGACTTTCTTATATATTTGAGCAGAGTTTTTACATTCACTGTAAGGATATTCGAAGGTAACCATCTCTAACATACACATCCCAAAAGAATATATATCGACCAACTCATTGTAATCTTCTTCATAAAGCTCAGGTGCCATAAACTCAGGTGTTCCTGCAAAGACCACTTCTGCATGTTACTATGAATGAGATAAAATAAACTAATACCCAAAGAAAGAACAAAACGAGGTATTCTCTTAACCATCAAATGTAAGACATAGGAGGAAACCATATATGTTAATATGTCCAAAATCTTAGTTTTCTTCTGCAACCATTTACAGATTAACAATGATCAATTGAAAACAGGGAAAAAAGATCATACCAATCACACTTCGTGCATTAGCATGTTGCATCACAGTTGCCAATCCCAGATCTCCAATCTTAACTTCGCCATGGTTACCATTAATAAAGATATTATCACACTTCAGATCCCTATGTATGATAGGTGGCTCATGGCCATGTAAATAGCTCAAACCTGTCAAAATCTGTCTTGCCCACCCCTTCACTGCCTTCATATCAACCTTTTTGTGTTTCTTGCGGTACCTAAGTCAAGCATCACATTAAATTAACAACAACATTAATTTTCCATAAAAAAACCAAAATATCATATGAAGAAAAACTTACTGTCTTAAGCTACCCGAGGTAAACAATTCAGTAATAATATTGATGGTCTTATTCCGGTCATCAATCCATGAATTGTAAAATCTTATTATGTTGTTATGTTTCAGAGATTTCAAGAGGTGTACTTCAGAGTAAAGCCTTTCCAAGTCTTCTGGTGACTGTAACACATCATCAATCCGAACTTGATTCCAAGCTACTTCAATTCCATCAACTTCATCAAACGCCTTGTAGCTATAATTATAATAAAATTAAGGAATGCATGTAGTAGATGGGATAAGACACTAATGACGAGGAATGAAAATACACGGACAAGCTTAGATAAGTTTGAGATAACCATCAAATATTTTTCAAAATAGACTATTTAAAGGATACACAGTCTTGTAAGCTCCTTTCCCCAAAACTTCTTTATACTGTTAGAACATAAAACCAATTAATTAGAAAACAAAAAACCCAAAGATTGAAATTATCAACAAGACATCCAATGTTTTACCCGGATATATCGATTAGTTGGATCAATTTCAATAGCATCAGGGTCTGGAGGCTCGGGATGGCCTGAGCTCTCTTCCACCCCCTCCATACTGACCAAAGCCAATATCCGAAACTACAGAAGGACGAAATGATCTTAACAAAATTAATTAGAAATTACATTTATTTGAGAAACAGCACAGCTTTCAAATTTAAATAGTTTTGGCACTATAACGTCCTACGGCTAAGGTTCCAACCAACACAGAGGAAAGATATTCCAACATAGATCAAAAGGGCGTTACTTGAAAAACACATTTTTATGGGAGAATAAGTTGTAAACCATTAGGCTTGCAAGGTAGGGGATTCATGCCAATACATGGAAAGGCATGTGCATTGATGCATTCACGGATTCGACTGCAGAATTTAAATTCCCATACACCCTAAAAATTTATCGTTCGAATGACATCTCAAAACCCAAACATTGACGCAAATGTCACCACTAAAACAAAAGATTATGTCACCAGAAACAATAGAAGATTGGGGAATGCATGCCATACGACAAACATTTACGAAATTCATCCAAAATCAATCATAATCATAATATCAAAAAACAACAAGAAAACCTAACTAAAAACGAACCATGATTAATGCAAGGTACGCCGAAATACAAATTGAAACCCTAAAAAATAAAAAAGAAAAGAATCTAATAATACCTTCAAACGCAATTCCTTCCTGGTTTTATTCTCGCGAAATTAAGATCCATGAAGAGGCGAGAAGAAACCCTAACACTAATTAAGGAACGAATACAGATGTGCCCCTGAACCGATCATAACCTCCTGTCTGAAACAGCAAAGCAGCGCTCTTTCTCTCCCTGCTCCTTCTCCCCCAGACAAATTTTCGTTCCATCTCTCCTTCGTAGAGGCATGGCAGCAATGCAACAGCAAATTTTCCTTTTCCGAACGGGGTGGTACGTGGGCTTTCGAAAAAAAAAAAAAACAGAATGGTGCTACGTCGCCCTCACCATAATCACGTAAGGCCCCTCTCTAGCATCTGAGCCGTCCATTGCGCATGAGATTACTACACACGTCGGATTGGTATTTTTTCTGCTTTAGTAGCCCCTCCCTTGTCTCCCTTCCATAGTTTACATTTTACAAAGAGCTTCTTTTATGAGAAGAATCCAAGTTAGCAAGGGTTGTTTGGATACCGAATCTACGATGAGACCCACATGTGATCAGCAATTTTTAACCGTTAGATCAGGAAAGAGTGCATTATCTTAATTCGGTCCAAAATGCCGATTCGACTCTTAACCGCTCCTTAAGTGGTGTTTGGTACTGTGATAATTTTTTGATAAATCATTTATGTTTTTATTCCACATAAGCATGCAAAAAGGAGACCAGATCTGCTCTTCACACCGACCTCACACGCACATCCTACCATGCATTGAGAACATCTCTCGTACTTATAAGTTATTACCGACGGGAGATGTTCTCAATGCATGGTGGATGTGCCTATGAGGCGCTTATGTGTGAGGAACAGATCCCCTTCCCCAGCAAAAGGGGTAGCACATCCCCACAAACCACTAGAACAAATGCCAAGAAAGCTTACAAAAATGAATAGATACCACACCATGCATAATTGACTAGGCTTCATGAGCAAAGCAGTCAAGCTTGATTCACCTCATGGAAGACATGCCTGTAAACTAGCCATTCTTGAACAACTCCTTCATTCCCCATACAATCATGAATGATGCTTTTTTGAGGTTCCAAGGCAGGATTGTCACTTGTTGCAGGCAAGCAATCACAAGCTTTGAGTCTTTCAAATTTAGAACTAGGTTATGGGCTTCCCATGTAACTTATGCTTTGGCCAAATTAATAGTTGCTACACCAAGATTATCAGCTTTTACATCGATCAGTTCCCCTTATGGTTTCTAGCTATTGAATATATACCACCATTAGGAAGCATCAAAATTGATCTTAATCGTTCCAATCGTAAGTAAGTTCCACCTAATGTGCTTCCAAGTCTTAGAATTTTTCTCCTCATTAGGCTAATTGATTATTGATAGCATCATGGTATTCCATGAAAGAGTTTAGGGCCCTTTCAATGATCATATAGGTAGGGGTAGATGTGTTATTAAAGATTCTTTGATTTCTATTTTTCCAAACCTACCAAAGGATGAATACATGTTTCACCCTCTTTATTTATATTGAACCACCATTCTCTTAGTGAAGACTTTTGGTCTTCTATCCCTCTAAAATTAAAAGTATCCGCCATCCAAGTTTGCTTCACAATTATGCAATTTCTAAATATATGATTAAAATCCTTTTCCTCCCCACATAAGCCATAGTCGCCATCAAGCATTTTAAGCTTCATATCCTATGTGGCACTCTGCCTAATGGCATTGGAATAAGCAATAAACAAATAAGCTTCGGGTTATGTGTACAACTGAACAACTCTCTTGTCGAATTTGGATTTAGTCTTCACAAAATCCATCCTCATTGTCCTCACATCCCTTTCAACGTTATATTGAGACATTTCTTGTTGGGGCCTCACAACAATCACCCATAAGATAAAATTGCAAAATATTTGAAATAGCAACTAAGTAAAAAAAAAAAAACTAATATAATAACAAAATAACGAAATTCAAGCAAAAACAAGTAAAAGCAAGTACTACCAAGAACAAAAAGGATTTATGTGGTTCGACTTTATTATCTATATCCACAAGAGAGACCAAAACTGTTCTTCACTATAAAAGAAAATGAGAAACAATATATGTTACCTTGTAGCTTGCAACTCAAACTAATCCTTAGCCCTTATACACCTATTTGCTCTTTCCTCTCTTTCAACTTGAATAAACAAAAGACAAGAGAAAAACTCCAGTCTTGCACCAAAAACACCATATTTCTCTTTACCTCTGGTTTTTTCTTCTTTAACAAGAAAAAGAGAACTTTTTTCTCACTTATTTAAACTCTATATACAAAAGAGACCTTTTTATATGTAAAACCTTCCTTAACTTAAAAGAAGAACCACACTAATTGTTAGATTAAAACATAATCAAATAGTGAAAAAATAAGACACAACTCTAGCATATACCTTGGCTTATTTTTCAACCACATTGGAGATCTACCATTTATGCTTCCACTTGTTCACAAATACCATAAGCATCCATTAGCCTTAACAAAACACCACCTATTACACAAAACCTGAATCACTTGGTCTTGGCTTCACCTGATTCAGAAAAACGACCAATGCACCTATGTAACCACACCTTAGCTAATAACCTTAGTTAATTCTAGAGAGGAACCTCAGTCCTTCCTTTCTCCCAACAAGAACATTCCTCTCACCATCATCTGTAATCGGAAACTTATAGCACTTGTCTCTACCCCATCTACGAAAGAGATTGTATGACCACACTACCTTGTGCACTCAATTTTCAATATCCCATTGAGATAGTAGGAACCACTATACTCCCAACCAGATAATACAAGTCCTTGCATTTTTCCCCTTCATCAGGATCATACTACCGTGTATAGTTTTCATGATTCCACCTATATGTAGCAAAGACCTTGCAACAATCCAATCGACTAAGTATATTAGATTCCTACATACGCCACACCACCCAAAGTGCGAAGCATTCCATCAAATGTTGATTTTCACCATCTCAATATATGTGATGTTTTACATAGATTGATCACCCATTTTCCTCTATTGGAATGCACAAAAATATTTTCTCTTGGAATAAATATACATAGAACACACAGAATCTAAAACCTAATCATTTAGAGAAAAAATGTACATACCTTCGGAGACTATGAGAACGTCTTTGAAATCATCTGATGCAATTGCAACGCTTCCAAATTCATCCCCATTCTTTTTTCTGTGTAAGATGATCTCTCTTAATGCGATCAAATTTCTTGCATCTGTAACATTGTACTTTGCCCTTTAATCTATCACTCTTAGATCCCCTATTAGACAACTTTTCTTTTCGACCCGTTCTCTACATAACCAATGCATAATCTTGCCCACTTTCATACATGGGCTTCCTCCTAACCTCATTGGATAAAAGAAATTTGGTGACTTATTCTAACTTCATTGTATCTTTCCTATACAATAACGTTATCACCAAATTTTTGTACAAATCAGAAAGTAAGGTAAAAAGTAAAAGGGCATGTCTTCTTTCTCCACCTTGACATTAACGTTCCTTAGTTTATCCAAGACATTGTTAAACAAACTTAGGTGTACAATTGTCACTTCAAATATAAATTTGTAGTTTAACTTTTTCCTAAATAAAGTTTTTCTAGCTTGTCTCACAGTTTTGACGTAGAATCTTCTTCCATAACATAAATTTGAAATGTGTCCATTGTAAGAATTTTGTTGGTTTCTAAATCAACCTGCAGCATAAATTTAAAAGTACAACCCTGACTATAATTTTCCCTGAAAAAAACCGAATCCAGAAATTGTGTGAGAATGGATTTTCACTTTTCAAAGCCTTGCAATAGCTTGAGGGGCACAAAAAGGTTTGATCCAATTGCAAGTGGCAGCAGCCTGGCCCCTTTAGAAGCACTTTTGCAACTTGCCCATCTTAGCATTGAAAGATTGGGATTGATAGGGACACTGTCCTTTGCAAGCATCGCCCATTTTGAATAGGATGCGCCACAGCTAGAGTTGTTCTTCCTCCATCCACAGTATAAAGTCTGAGGCTGCAAGCGCTCCGACTCCAACAAATTGTCTTGGGTTTATGTTGCATGACGTCGAAGCAAGCATTTTTCTCCACACCTGGTGCCAGTTTATGGAAACTGATCTTTTGACCCAACAACTCACCCTTGAGCTGTAGAAACTAGAAAGCTTTGGTTTCACGCACCTCTTCATGTGATAAATGCCCCATTTTTTGGGCTGCTTTATTCACGTTTATCCCATTGGTGAGCTTCAGATACTTTCTGTTGTTCATGAGACGATATTTCCTCAAGGCCCGAAAAAACCCTACAAAAATGGTGACGAGAATTCCATCAATTTTACATAAGTGTAAGAGATATTCCCAATAAACGGCCCACTGTTCATTGAATCAATAATATGTACAGACAGAAAGAATATGTGAGAATGGGCCCCCTTACCTTAAAAAGGTCCAACTGGATGATGCTATACTGATATCACATCTTGGGTCCTTGTCACATGCGTAGACGGGTTTTGGGCGGCTACAACTTGCCACTTATTCCATGATTCAAGGATCTAGCTTAATTCGGTTTAAACTGAAATTCGGATCGAGTTCTAGCCTGATATATAGAGTACCCCCAAGCCCCAATAGCTAGGAGCTATTTAACAGTGGGACCTGATATTCTAAGTATACAACACATGGCAAATTATGAGTACCCCCAACTGCTAATGCCGATTACAATGGTGTGGAGATGCATAGGAAGATCATGTCACACCATTCCTAAGAAAGTCTCATTCCACGCATCAAAATCAGCCCAATAATCGACTAAGCTTCACCTTCCAAAAATTAAATCCATTAATATGGTGTAGAACTATAGATACTTTCTTGCTTTATTTTTATGTCATTTATCAGAAACTTTTTCAATGATCCAGCCCAATGGCACTTACAGAAAAAGACGACCACAGTAATCACAGTCGAACCAATCAACCCTGACCAGGGACCATCAACGACGTCCGATCCAGCTCTCCAGACATTGGTGCAAAACTGCAAACCGCTATAAATCAGCATTTGGAGTTTGGACCTCAGCAGCAATAATTCCGATGGCAACTCTAAAGGCTCAAGCCGCTCCGACCATGGTTTTCAAAATCGGACCAGACTAGATTGTCAGACCAAAAAAATCAGGAACCGGTCACCTGACTGGTTTCGTTTTCCCCCAAAACCGTTGATTTTGATCAGCAAACCACTGAACCAGCTGGTTAACCATTCAAACGGTTTTGACCATTTTTCAAATTTTTTAGTTTTTTTTTTTTGTTGGAACAGGCCGACCCTTAGGGTCGAATGGGTAACCGGACCCCTGACCGGTTCGGTCACCGGGTCGGTTTTAAAAACCATGGCTCCGACCATTACGCTCCAAAATGTGGAACCGTTAAGAGTCACGCATAGAAGTATGGAGTTCGAAGCATCACCTTACCAACACAACAATAGACCCATTGCATTACCTTACCTCTCTCTCTCTCTCTCTCTCTCTCTCTCCTCTCCCCTCTCTCTCCCTTTTTAACTTGAGAGATGCTGGCAGGCAGCTAACTGCACCTACACCTACAATAGTCAATAGTCACGAAAGAGCCACGAGAAGACACTGCTAAGGCTCAAATTTCTCCCAGCTTCTGTCAAGTCTGTAGAGCTGTTCACTGAGAAAACATTTCTCCCAGCATTTACCAAAGTCTGCAAAGCAGTCCACGAAAAATAAAATGCACAGAATGGGAAAACTAGTTGATTACTTGATTCGGAGTATGAAATCTAAGTGGGACCAACAGTGGATACATTAGGATTCTCAAGGAAGACAGAAGGTCAGGGAAGAAGATTGAAAAGGTTAAAATAACACGACACGACTGGGGGTAAATTGTGACAGGTGAGATGTATACTATATGAGGGGTAAAGGTGGAAAATTTTTCCTGCCCATATTATCTCACAGGATGATTTTATATACAATACAATACAATACAATACAACAGGAAGGCAAGGGCAGAGACCCAGGAATAAAATGAAGGAACAAAGAAAATAAATCAAAAGAGGCACGAGGAAAAAAAGCAGTATCCCATCTGGTTGATCAGGGATTTTCTGCACAGCCTTCATAAGCTATCACAAAAAGGATCCAAAAAGACACAGGCACATTCTCTCCGCTGCTAAGGTTGAGAAGTTTGTGAAATGGCATCTTCAGGTCTACGCATTGATTGCCCAGTGGCTCCTGATGACCTGTCTGATACCCGGACATTATACCTCTCATAAACCTTCTCACGGTTCTCTGACCACCAAGTTTCTGCTTGGTGCTCACCGAATCTCCTCCGGCTGCAGACACATTTCCATTTTCAGTTGCAACATTACAAATGAAGAATTAAATTTTAATGCCTAACCTAATGCTCTAAGACTTTATGATGAGTTAGCAACCACAAAAAGTTGCCTTTTTTCTGACATAATTGTCAACAAATATCAAAAGGCTCTAATAGAAATTATGATAACTGTGTGAAAAGTAACTACCAAGAAAAATTAGATAGAGATAACCAAGCCAAAGTACCTGAATCGCACTCGCCTTAGATCTCTAGTTCCATCCCGGAGGGCTACAAGGGTTATATATACCCCAGGTTCATATTGTTCAATCCATTCAGCCTCAACTTGATGGCTGTTACCTGTCAAAGAGGGACTTCTAGAGTTCATACTATTCTCACCATTCTGGAAAGGCTCAGGTTCCCTGCCATCAGCAGCCTCAGGCCTACCATTGCTACCGCTATGTACATCCCCACTACCATTCCGCAATCCTACATCTTCATGGTCATCCATCCCATTGGGGGACAAAACTCCTTGGCTTTGTAGGCAGGAATTGGTTTCATGGGCTCCAGGTATGTTCCTTGGCAAATGAGTCTGACTTGGAGTCCCATTGGTGGTGCCTGAGTCTATTCTTGCAGGAGAAGCCAGGTTAGAGCCATTGGTTGCATCAGATCTTGGGTGGACCTCTCCATTTGCATCAGGATGATGGATGCCATTCAGATCCAAGCCATTTGGTAGGTAAACCGCCTTCATGCTTTCAGTCTCATAGGACCCAGGTGGAAGCTTCTCAGCCATGTCCTTGAGCTGGACAGTATATAAAAGGCCCAATCAGCAAAAAAATATGGTATTGCCAAAAAAAGTAATGAAAGAGTAATGCAGAAGCCTTCGCAGATGAAAACAATTAACATTTCTGGCACATAAAATTTCATTCAATAAGAGATAATGCAACTCGGATAGATGATAATACTCACAGTATATACAAATCAGGAATCACTCTAAAACACCCATTAATGGATTCAAGGAGAATGAATTCTACAATAAAAGGCAACTCAAACCTATAAAATAATGATTTTTAGAAATGATTAATGGTCCAAGTAAAAGGATAGTTCATGAAACAGCTATCTTTTTAATTTTTTTTTGATAAGTAGCTGCCTTTTTAAAGTTGTACAGAAATGCATTCTTTTCAACACGAAGCAGGTAGATTTCAACATGCAAGACTAGTGGCGCGGTTTGTAATCCATTTATCAACCATATTGGCAAAAGGCCAACATCAATAAGATGATCAAACATGACTAGCTTAACCAAATGTGTAACAACATTTACTGGATCATCTGTGTTACCAGTAAGAAGTGATCTATTACAAGTTGAAGGGGCTAAAAGAGCCAAGGGCAGACCACAAAGGACTTGGATTGTAGTAAGAAATGATTTAGGGGCTCTTTTTTGATAGTAAAGAAAATTTTCATTAAAATATAAAAAGATAATTACAATCTACTCAGGTGTTAAGGTAAAACTAAGGAAGAACAAATCAAAAGAAACTTTAAGAATTACAATTTTGTAATTCAAGAACATCCCAAAAATTAACTCCTAAATCTGAATGGCACACTTGTGCAAATTCAGGGAGAATAAACACCCAATCTGCTACACACTTGCCAATGACAGCCACACTTTTCAACATTTTACAAGACATGGGACTGAACAGAATAGAATGGCGAAACAGGGTTCATATAGCTGACCCATATGCTTAGGACAAAGGCTCAGACGACGACGACAATGATGACGATGATTCACTTTACCTTTACACCATAGCTGTTAATGTATTCCCCAGGCAAACAGGTGGTATTCAAGGATCATCATGAATAATAATACTGAGCCCACTTAATATATAAGGCACTTGCCAACAGCCTAATGTTATAGGGGCCTATGCATGATTAAGAGGCTGAGCAGGCTCCATATGGGTATTGGGTACGGATATGGTGGTGCACTTTGCCTTTAGGCTGTGTTTGGTTTGAAGGAAAAAGAAGGGAAAGATAAGGAAACTTGTATAGGTTTCCCTACCTTTCCCTTCTTTTCCCTACCTTTTCCTTTAAATCAAACATAGCCTTAAGGTACTTCTTTTCCCCATTTTTCAGGAAATTAGGGTTTGCAATGGTTTGACAAGGGTTTTGGAACTGAAGAGAAGAAGATTGATGTTGATTTTTGGACAATAAAAGTGCTTTCTTTCTTCATATGTTCTGTTTTCAGTGCGAATCTGAATTGGATGCAAATTTTGCACCTAGTTCAATTTTGCATCAGTATGTTTGTAACTATGGCTGCGTTTGGTTGCAGTGCAAGTGCAAATATGTACACTGCATATTTACCTATTTTTCGGTTCATGAATGCAAACACGGTTCACATTTTAAACCGTTTTTGCATTCATCTTGTTTGTTTGAAATCGGTGCAGAAGTGTGGGCCCATCATTAAATGCTCCAACTATCTTATGCTCCAATGCCTTAATTTTGGTCAAAAAGTTAATTATCAAAAGAACACAAAATTGTATTAAAAAAAGGTACAGTAAAGTTCTCTTTTCAGAGTACAAAAGTGTCAGAAAATACATTTTTGCTCTGATAATCATTACTTTTTTACGTATCAAACAAACGCTCACAAATGTGAACCAGGGTACATAAATACCCTGGTTCGGCGTTTGTATCGCAAACAAACAGAGCCTATGGCTCAGTTTGGAAAGAGTACAAATACAAATATGCACAGTACAAATACATACGAAATACAAGGTTTTGCTTTGTATTTGTACTCCTTCCAAACTGAGCCTATTATGGCTTCATTTGGGAAGAGTACAAATACAAAAAAGCAAATACAGAACTTTTGTATTTGCACTCTTCACAAACAGAGCCTATGATTCACTCTCCTACCTGATACAAAATTTGTACATTTTGCATCATTTGCACTCACTAGCAGTGCAAAATTTGTATATCTAAACTGATGCAGAATTTGTATATCTAAACTGATGCAGAATTTGCACCACCATCCTCCTACATTAATTCTCCCATTTAAAGTGGGGAACTGGGGATCACAGCATCTTGCTTCTGACCTAATTCAAAACAAATAATCCTCCTACTGCCAATAAGGTGGGGACCACATCGTTCTCTTTCTATTTCAAATAAAGTTCAAATTTGAAGCAAAAGTGAACCAGTTCACACTCAGCCTATTTACATTTCCATGCATATATGCCAGTGGAAATGAAATTCATACTGCAAACAAACTGAACCTTAAGCAGGGGTTCTCCCCTCTCCATCTCAGTTCACCCAAAACAGCACCCCTCCCTCCGTGGCCTCTCCATCTCTATCTGATGTAAAATAGGGATTCCATCACCCCTCACTCTCTATTCCCTCCTTGCTCTAACAGTGGCACTTCCCCTCCCTCCCTCCCTCACAATTGAACAAGGGGATCAAGATTATATTGTTTTCCTTTAGAATTAGTCAAATTATTTTTTATTGATTCTTTTTGCATTCATAAATTGGTGCTTCAATTGAAGGCACTCCTTCCTCTGGTTTTACATAGAAGATCCATCCAACTGATTATTGGATCAACCATACATAATCCAAGTATAATTTGCATTTTTTTTACTTAACATTATTTCCTTGTTAGATGAATAAAAAATGAGCTGCTATTGGCAAATGTTGTTGCTGCAGCAATTCATTTCTTGTTGTACTTACTAAAGTTAATCCTTTCATTGTTTATCTAGCAGAGAGCATTGCTTTTTTTCATTTATTTTATTTATATGCTTGCCTTTGGATATGCAAAACTAGATAGTGAACCTAGAATCAAGCTATTTATGTTGTATTGCAACTTTAACATCCAAGTAAATACTAAATAGCACATTTAATTGCTATTTATGTTGTTCTTCCAGCTACTATATCTTCCGATTTTGGTATTCCACCCTTTTGCTCATCTTCCATTAATGGATAACTTTCATTTTGTGGATGAATTTTCAAAAAGTATTGTCACTAAGACATGCATGGTGTTATTATTTGAACCTTTTTTAGTGAATTGTTTCTTTAATTTTTAGTAACTCATGGGATTTACTATTTAAAGCAACTAGTGATTACTACTTTTAGTAAATTATAGTATTACCGCAAAAGGTTAACTTCACTACTTCTAGTAAATTTCAGAACTAATTTGGTCTTAGGCTAGTTTCCACAAGTCTTATTTTATTTAAAAGTTAGAAGATATTCCTTTTCCTTTCATAACTTGGTAAGTATTATAAAATTAGGTCTAGTTTTATCCACTAATCTAGGAGGCTCTTTTGAATAACATATTTTTAATATAGTACTTTCTAATATTCCTTTCTTGAGAAAGATAACTATTAGATGTTTCTTTGAGGCTCATTTCTTCATGCTACTGTATTGATTATTTTGAAATAAGCAACTAGATTTATCAATAAGACCCAAGGACAGATAAATTTTTCCTTTTCTTCACAGGTGAAGATTACGAGCTGGGGATTTATGTGGAAGGAGAAGAATATGCTTTTTTCAGGGCTAGAAAAGGCTGCAGTTGGAGAGGAGAATGTTGGATTGTGGAAGAGAAAGGTGAGAGGGGGCTAGAGTTTCAGGAACAGAGGCCTGAGATGCAGGGGAAGGTAATAGGTCAGTTGGAGGTTGAAGACAATAGAAGAGGAAGACAAAAGGGTAGGGAAGTAATTTTAGAGGGGAGGAATGTTCTTTAGTGGGACCCGTGGAGGCTGGAGGTCAGAAAGAATTGAACTCATGGGTTACTGAGATGGGAAGGCCAGAGGAGGTTGTCGAAGGGTCGTTTTCCGGCCTTCAATGTTGTTGGCCCTGGGAGCGGGGTCCACCTCTTAAATTCAAAGGTTAGGGATAAAGACAGAGAAACTCGATGGAAAAATTGAGGATGTTCAAAAGAAAAAAGCTTCAAGGTTAAGTTTTCAAGGATTGGAAGGAGAAGGGTCTGCTTCAATGATCGAAGATGGAAGACTGAGAAGTGGGTTTGGGAAGTCATCAGATATGATAGTGCAGAGAAGGAAAAGGTGCTCTTGGAGCTGGAGGTCTCTTGAAGCAATGGTGTTGAGCAGCGAACTCTGTTAACCATGAGTTGCTGTCTGTGATAAGTGATTCAAGTGCAAACAGTGGGGTTTTCTGACACAGATAAGGAGGATAGCCAGCGGGTAGGTATGACTTTAAGCTTAAGTTTTGGTTTGTTTTGGGTCAAGCTTCAAGGAGTTTCTCAGGAAGGGAGGAGAGGTTCGGTGATTTAGTGGGTTGCAGGGTTAGAAGGGAGGAAAGAGAATGAGAAGGTGGACTTGGGAGGAAAAGTGGTGGACGATGTAAGGGGGTGGAAGTGCTAAAGAGGGAGATGGAGAGATAGGTGAGAAGGTTGAAGATGGAAGCCCGGAAGTAAGTTGTGACCCAAAGGCTATGTTTTGGTTTGAAGGAAAAGGTAGGGAAACCTATACAAGTTTTGTAAAGGTTTCCTTACCTTTACTTTCCTTTCCCTACTCCTTCAAACCAAACACAGCCTAATGATGTTGGTAAGGAAGGAGAAAATGGTGTGGTAAGAGGCTGTGAGGACTTTTCAATATCTGAAATGGTTGTTGGGAGTTGATTTGGGTTGGAAAAGGAGATTTGCAATTTCAGATGGTATTGAGGGTGAGTTGGATGTGTTGAAGAAACCTTGAGTTGCAAATTAAGTTTATTTAGTGTATGCTACTAAAATGTTCTCTAGATTGACAAGAGGGCCTGGTCCAACAAAAAAAAAAAATCATGAGAGTTTATAATAAAAAAGGAAGGAAGTTCAGAGGCTCAATTGGTGGAGATTGAGGATTTAACTGCAAGAGATGTCAGAATTGGTAGGAGCTTAGGTCTGGCAGAGGGCTTCGTGCATCGGTTCGGGAGTTTGGGGTTCCGGAGTTTTAGGAAGAAGTTTTTTTTTTTCTTTTCCTTTTTTTTTTAAGAAGAGATTGCAGTGTGTCCTTTGTGTTGTGATTGGATAGAGTTTTTGGGTGTTGCCTCATCACCCGCTGATGTTTGTATTAAGCTTTTATTTTAATGAATTTTACTTTCTACTTTTCAAAAAAAAAGCTTTTTTTTTCCTTTTTCTTTACTTCGACTCCAAATCTCTAATTTTGAGGAATTTCTTTGTTGGGTAGTTTTTATCAATCTTTATTGGTAATATTTTTTGCATTGTTTATAGGGAAAACAGGAGTGACCAAATATGCATCAAGATCTTTCAGAAAAGCATGCTTAAAAATGATTCTGTGATTGAAATAAGATGGCTTAGAAAGGTGCCAGGGTCCACAGGAATTACCTGATCCCATTGAAAAGGCTAATTCATCTTTTTTTTTTGATAAGTTGGGTAAAACATCATATTCCAATGGATGCTTAAGATCAGTTGATCACAATACAAAATGGTCTTAAAGCAGAATCTCTAGAGCTGAATTCTATTGCAGGACTTCAATCTATACTGTACTGTCAATGAGTGCAGACTGCAGATCCCTTTCATTCTTATTTATTCCTTTAAAAGAACTCATCATTACCAATTAAAAAAGATTATTATATTTCAGTTGAAAAACATGGATCATGATTCATGACATAATTTTTTTATTGGCAACGGTAACTTCGATTATATAGAATTCAAATTACAACAACTTATCCACTGATTATTATTATTATTATTATTATTATTTTTATAGGAAATGATAACTTTCATTAGCTAAAAGACCAAAGTACAACTGTCACCTACTAAAGTGAAAGGTGACCCCTGAACAAAAACAACTTACAACACTGCCCAAAACAAAACCTCCTGATTCACCCCTTGCTTTGCACGGTTGTCAGCTAAAGCATTTGCTGACCTCCTATCCACTGATTAAATTTTCAAACATGAACCTCAAGGAAGGAAAAGAGAGAGTAATCATGGTTGGTCATCACTGCTTTTATGCTCCTTCAGGCTAGATAGTTTATTTATTCAAATAGTACTATTACAAAAGATATGCAAGATAAACTCATAGAATAGTAGGTTCCATAGTAAGCACTGGCACACTTCATTACTTGTTTACAACTTAAGAAGTTGGTTTTCAATGAATCTGTACATCTATACTATATAAAGTGGATACTTGCCTTGGTTTCAGTCAGTGATTTAAAAGGCGTGCCTAGGTGCACAGGCGAGGCGCATTTCAGGGTATGCACCTCGCCTAGGTCCTAGGTGCATTTCAGGGTATGCACCTCGCCTAGGTCCTAGGTGCAGCCTTTTCAAAAGGCACACGCCTGGTGTGCCTAGGCGTGTGCCTGATGTGCCTTGCGCCTCAGCCCAGGCGTGCGCCTTTTGAAAATTTGACGCTCTTTTGCCTTTTTGGAACATAGCGGCTGGGCCGGGGGCTCCGCTCCCGGGCCCCCGTGCCACGCCCAACATTACCAAATTGGGGGTTCTTGGAGCTTCAGCAAGCAAGCGAACTAGAGTGGAGTAGACCCCCCAATTTGGTAATGCTGTTCATTCATTCATCCTAATAAAATATCTTCTTAAAAAGCAGTTAAAATTACAAAATCATTGTTTTTTGTGTGAAGAGTAAGAATTTAAGACCTAATGTGGACTTGTTTGGGCTTGCCTCGAGAGGCATGGCACAAAGGCGGCTCGTAGAATCAGGAATGTAATATGTTTTACATTACATTAGCTACTTGAAGTAATGCAATTGAGTGAAAAAGAGATTAGAGGTTTTACATGCTTGAAAATGTTTTATATGTTTGATTTTATTTTTAAATTCTCATTTGAATATGCTTCCCATCTTATGTTTATGTATTTTAATCTTAGATAATAGGTTTTTTAAAACATTATTTTTAAATTTAAGTTTATATTTTGTATTAATATTATGTTTAATATTATTTTTGGCATTTTTTTGAATTTACTGATTTTTTTTTTTGTATTTTTGCGCCTTGCTTCAAAAAGGCATGCGCCTCGCCTTGTGCCTTAGGTGCAAATTGACCCCTGCGCCTTTTTTGCGCTTTGCGCTTTTAAAACACTGGTTTCAATGCAAGTCATAAAAGTTAAGAGCCCGTTTGGCGCGTCTTTTTGGGAAGATCTTCTCGTAGCTCTGACATGCAAAAGATGCATTGAGCTTTGGAATGAAGATCTGAGCAGCCCGAAGTACGTTTGGCAGATGTACGACTTCCCGTGTCTTTCCGCACGAGAATAAAACGCAAAAGATGCAGAAAGCTTCATTTGAAGCTTCCCGAAATCAGCCCAAAATGGGCTTCTTGCGTCTTTTCAGTGCTCCGTCTTTTGGTGGCTAGATCTTCTGCGAGCCAAATGGGAATAGACCGAAATCGGTCTTCCCGACTTGTAAACAGCCGAAAGACTGCATGGAAAGACGCGCCAAATGGGCCCTAAATCTAAATACCATATATCATATATGGTTTAATGCTTACTTGCACATGAACATAGACGTGCTCTTACAATAGTAGTCAGTCATAAAAAAAAAATTGATGACACATATAAATAGGAGCATTACCTGTGCAGTAAGGGATTTTATAACTTCTTTTGCAGCTTTGGATTTAGCAGATTCCTCCGCAGCTAATGCAAGAGCTTCTTGAGTTTTCATTGTTGATTTCTGCAACTCATATTCTTGTAGTTCACATCGTTGTCTTAAGCTATCAACCTAACCAAGTCCATTAAAAACAGGATAAGGAGACTGTTTTGCACTTGATGCTTAATTAAGAAAAAAATAGGAGTGAATGTGATCAGACTAGCATACCTGGGAACGCAACTTCTGCACTTCTTGAGTCAAAAGCTCATTTGTTTTCTTCAAGCTCTCTGCAATACTTTTGGAAAAAGAAAGGCCTGATGTTGTAGGAATAGGTGTTGCAGAACGAGGTGGGCTTGGTTTCCTAGAGAAAGGTGATACAGCCCTGGAACTGATTGCAGACTGACCAACTGACGTAAGTACTGGTCTTGGAGCTGTTCGGCGCAGGTCAATAGCACTAGAAAAGGCAATATCCTTTAGTTGCAACAAATTGGATGTTTGGGAAGATCGAGCAAGAGAGAATGTGTCAGATTTCTTCCCATGCTTAAATGCTTTGCTATCAAGCTGTTTAATCAAATCCATATTGGTAGGCGTTGCAGACTTGCATGATCTTAGGTCAGCTTTGTCTAACCTGTCTTTGTTTTCTCCTGAGAGCCTGGGTATAGCATTCCTCCTATTATTACTACCACCAGGTTCTGAGACCTTGCTCAGCTTGGCATAACAAGAATCACACACACGATATGGCTTAACAGGATTTGGAGCCAGAGCTGCTCCTAAAGCTTTTCTGGAGCTACAGGAATGGCAGTGTACAAGTCCACAATTGTAGCAATTGTGCCTCTTCCGAGTAAACCCAAATGCCTGTCTGCATGCTGAGCACTGGGACTGCTCAGTTCCAGGTACCCATTTATGGAGGCATATGGATGCTGTGAAGTTTGAACCGCAAGCAATATATTTAACATGTCTATCCTTCAAAGCCTCTACTAGTGTTGGTGTTTTCCGATCTTCAATATCTCCATGGCCCAGTCTTCCATTAGCTCCCTTTCCCCATGTGAAAACCTCATTGCGGGATGTTAGAACTGCTACATGGTATGCACCACAAGCAATTTCTTCAACAGATTCACTAGCAAGTTTATCTTCCACCAAGCAAGGAAGCTTCCCATCAGAGTGGGGATTGCCAAGCTGGCCATAAACTGTACTTCCCATGGTAAAAACATGCCCTGATGTGGTCAAGCCAACAGTTAAACTATGCCCACAAGCAATCTTGTAAAAATTATATTCAATTAGTGAAGGTACACACGTGGGTTTCAATCGAGGTTCTTTGTCTCCATGACCAAGACGACTCTTGTCCCCGTCACCCCAAGTAAACAATTTCCCTGATGAAACACTAGCACCGGATTGTGCCACAATAACCTCCACCACAGCAGCAGTATGCCACACACCACAGGCAACGGCAATTGTCCTCAATCCTGTCAGAGATTCCACTTCTCTTGGATATGTTACACTTTCCCTGTTGCCATGGCCCAGAACACCAAATGTTCCATCACCAAAAGTGAATAGATGCCCTGTAGATGTAATCAGTGCTGTATGCCATGGACCACAAGTAACGGAAGCAACCTGAAGTCCTTCAAGAGGACCTGAAACTCTCTTTGGTATCCAGTGACAAACATCAGTGCCATGACCAAGAAGCCCAGCATTATGTGTGCCATCCCCCCATGTATAAAGTTCACCAGCCAAGGTAACAGCACAAGTATGGAACTCTCCGCAAGCAACAAAATCAACATTTGAGACTGCCAAGGATTCCACCAGACGAGGTTGAATAACATCTTCCCCAACTCCATGGCCAAGGCGTCCACCAGACTCTTCACCCCATGTAAAAACCTCTCCCTGCCTTGTGACTAAAGCAGCATGCCTGACACCACAGGCTATATGATGTACGTCCAAAACTACATTGGACTCTAATGGTCTAGGAAGAAGTACATCAGTCCTAATGCTTAAAGGATTAACAGTTTTATCAGCTCCAACCTTGAGAAAATTATCACATATAATGTCACCCCATATGTACATATCACCTAAAGCATCACAGTCATCCTGAGCAGAGCCATGACTAGATGTACTTGGAGCACTTGAAACACTAACTCGAAAAACCTCTGAAGCAGATCCTTTTACTTGCATATTTGTGTGATCTGATGCTACATGTGACCTATCTGAATGCACTGAAGTATCAGGAGGACAACTTTTGGGGAAACTATTGCTGGCACCAACAGATGCTTCTGGAGAGCTAATATCTCGTGTGGCACTGACAGAACTGTTGCTTGGGCTAGCAGATGTCAAATCTCTACTGTCCTGAAAGAAAATAATCATTAAACCATGATCATGCATTACAAATAGTTAAAATTAAGGAAAATATGATGCATGAAACATAAAATTACTATGCGAAAACAAAATGTTTGAAGGAAATGAAAAATCTTCTGTACAAATATGTAGGGTACAAGTGTTATCTCATCAATTCTTGTTCTTGAAGATTTCAACTTGTTTAAAAGCAGAGATTTTACATTTAGATAGAACTTTGTTTTGGCTGAAAAGAGTGGTAAACTATAGAGAAGTATTTGCTTTTATTCCTTTTTGCATGTCCTTTATAATTAACAAAAATTTTCAATTACTTGTAAAAAAGTCACATTATGCGAAACAAAACAAAAAAAGGTTCGTGTTTGCTCTACCACAGTTTTCGATGACTGTCTAATTTTCAAGGTTTAGATTAAGGGAAAACAATAAGAAGAAAAATATACTAAAGACAAACAGCACCAGATAACGGACATTAAGAATTTGAATGGAACAATACTTTGAAGTCTTACAATTAAAGAACTTTAAGATATTTGAAACTAAAATAATGAGATATTGTGACATATTTGGGATATAATGACATGAAAACATTTATCTGTTTATATGGATAGATAATAAACCAAGTATCACCTTCAAACCATATTTCTTATAGTCTGAATTTGAAAATCTATGCTGTAAAAATCAGCATGTAAACTCTGACTTGGTTGGGTGAGGCTCCATTGAAGGAGAGGTTTCCTAGTTGCTTCCAACTCTAAACCTTCAAAGGGGAAGTGTTTCCAAATTTACCATCCTTTCTACATCTGCTGGGTGGGAATGGGACTTGGGTTTCAGAAGAGGGGTAGGGAGTCAGAACTTTCAGATATCATCTACTTATTGGATTCATTGGGTGGGGGTTTTCTTGGATCCTTCATATCCAGAATACCATTTATGAATTTGTAACCCATCAGGATCTTTTTTTGCATGCATCCTTCTATATAGCATTGATCCCTTCACTTCCTCTGGCTTTTTTCCCTGTCAAAGAGATTTTGTGCAAACCTATTCCTCCTAAAATTGGGATCTTTTTGTTGGGAAATTTATCGTGAGAAGACTAATATTTTCGATATTTTACAAAAGAGAAGGCCTTCTTGGTGCTTGTCTCCTAATTGAGAAATTTACCTTGAATTTTGATGGAAGTAGCATGGGGAACCCAGGTCCTTAAGGCATAGGGATAGGGGGAGTTTCTAGAAATGAGAAGAGCATTATAAAGGCTCTTTTTTCTGGGCCAATAAAGGTGGGTGTCTCACTAAGAGCAGAATGGACGGCCATGATTCAGGGGATACAAAAAGCAAAAGATATGAAGATTGAAGAGCTTGTAATAGAAGGACTAAGGTAGTGGTGGGTTGGCTAATGAATTAGGAGGAAGCCCTTTGGATATATAGGAAATTAGGAATGAAATCAAGAAGTTTAAGTGGCCAACTCAAGGAATGTAGGTAGAGGTGCAACGGATTCAAAGATTAGCCAATTCCATGGCTGATACTCTGGAAAACAATGAGAAAGCAGAACTCAGTTATTTTGGGCTGGATTTTAATGTTTTCTTAAGGGGGAAGAGAAACATTACTCTCTTCAGCGATGTATACTTCATTGTATATCTGATGTTTATATAATCTTAATGAAATCATGTTATTTATAAAAAAAATCATCATGCAAACACATTAATCAAATCAAAATACTCAATGTTGAAACCTTTTGCCCAGCACTTAAGAAACAAGTGGGGTTTAATGCCAGAAAGGGGCAGTTTAGTTCATAGAAATATAATTTTATGATAAGGCACAGAATATAATACTTAAAGAACTAGACTCCATAAGATGGTATACGTGTAATTACATCAATGTACAATCCTCCATCACTCCATCCATCAATTTTTGAGCGTCCACATTGATTGGAAGAAATCAATGCCTTAAGGCCCGCAATCCACACTTCAGCCTCAACTTTGTCCTTGCAAATCTGAAATTCATTAGCATGCTGGTTTAATATATCTGAAAAGAAATCAATTACATACTTGTAAATAGGTTCTCATAATAATAGCACTAACCAGATCAAGGGATCGCTTTCCATTGTTGTATATAAGAGAAAAAGATAAGTATTCCTTCTCTGGGCGCAAATATCGTTGGAAAACAGACTACCATATAACCAAAAAACGGTGAAAGGTTTTAGTTTCAAAGAACTTAGTGATATATCTTCTATCATTTATTTTTATTGTTCTCTATTTTCTTTGATTCAGCATATTAGATTAAATGTCAGTATAAAGCACAAAAATAATATGAAATAAGTGCAAAACTATCTCACGGTTCCTTGTCCAGGGACAATTTTTGATACAGAAGCTAACTTCAATTTTTTTTCTCCACCACTTGAAAACCAGATCAAAGATGATTCATCCTGTGAATTTCAGATACAAGAATAGTAAGAAAAATAAAGTTAAGAGTTTTCTATATATGATTTGATATACATTTACTACAGTTCAACTCATAAAATGACATAAAACAATGACATAAGAAAATGAAACATCTTTAAAATAGATAGTTGGATGTGTTATGCATTCAGGAAAAGGCAAATCCTCGAAAATGAAAGTGTTGTTTATTTATCTAGTGGTAATGTTAACGTGAGGAGTGAGATTTCCTTTCAAAGTTAATAGGGGTGGGGCACACAATTTCAGATCTGAACCGGATGGGGGCCCAGCCCAATCTAATCCAATGCTAGAGAGTTCTGGGGGCTCAATTACTACGGGGCCAGTGGACATTGCACCAACCCAAGATGCGCATGCGGGCCCAGATAACGGGTGTGAGAAAGTTGTCGTCACGTTAACATGGCTCATCTTATAAATAGCAGATATCGTCGTCGAAGGTTGCAAAGAGGTAAAGTGGACAAGAGATTGAAATTAAGCCCCAATAGATCAATGTGCATAAAAAAAAAAGTTTGGAGGGTGTGTATTGTTGGATTTTAAAAAGAGAAGGGAGGAGAGGTGGGTCTGGGTAATCACCAGATATGATAAAAGTGGGAAGAAGAGGTTGGCTGGGGATCAAGGGAGTTGCTTGATGATGGCCAGCCACCCAAGGTGGAGAGCGAACTTGGAAGGCACTCACATGCCAAGGCCTGCAGAGAGTGGCACTATTTCTGAACTTAGAGGTGCAGAGGTGGATTCTCAAGACCTTAGATCCGTTTCTACTACTACAGTTATGTCAAGCCCAGAGGAGGATGGTCCTAAGGGGTCCATGGGGATGGAGGAGGAAAAAAAGAAAGATGGGAGCAAAAGGTCTTTCGTCAAAGATAATTCCGAAAAGGAAATCACAGCCAGAGAAGAGGGGATTACAGCTGCTGGAGGGGATGAAGGTAATAAAAATCAGAGTAATATCGGCAAGCATTTATGTTTTGAGGAGGTGCTGGTTGGAAAGTTGGGTGTAGACTTGGATCGAAGGAAAAGATTGAGAAGGAGAAGGAGAAGGAGATGTCTAATGAGGTGAATATTAAAAAAAACGCAGTTCAAGAAACCATAACATTGTGCACGTAACAAAAAGTTTTTCCAGGCTAAAGCTCAGGCTGGTTGGGATAGGCCCTACAAAGAACTACAAACGGGTTTATAGGAGAAAAAGTGAAAAAGGAAATGTGATAATTGGAAGTGAACAAAGAGGGCCTATGTTGCAGCTTAAATCATCGGATACCGAATTAGGGAAAGAAAAACAAATAAACAAGGAGGGTGTTGAAAGTGCTGACTCTGGTGGGAACTTGCCGTTACAAACAAGCGACAAAAAAGAAAGACTAAAATTCTGTCAAAGGTCTTATAAGAAAGACTAAAAAAGGTGTTACCCTCAATCATCTCTCCTTTCCAAGGTGCTTTTGTAGAAGGAAGGCAGATTGTAGATCAAATCTTGGTGGCTAATGAATCCATCGTGGAAAGAAGAAAGGGTAGAGAAAAGGGGCTGGGGTGTAAAGTAAATCTAGAAGAAGCCTATGACCTGGTTAATTGGGAAGTCCTTCTAAAAGTATTAGAAAGACTAGGATTTGGAGCTAGATGGAGGTCTTGGATCAAAGGATGTTTAAGTTCAGTTCACTACTCAATCCTAATCAATGGTACAACAAAGGATTTCTTCCCGACTAGGAGAGGAATTAGGCAAGGTGACCCCCTATCCCCATTCTTTTTTACCCTAGTGGCAGAAGTGTTAAGCAGAATGGTGGCATAAGCTGATGCTCAAGGCCTTATTAGAGGTTGGAGGGTAGGTAGAAATCGGGTGATTGTTACCCATCTCCAATTTGTAGATGACACCATATTTTTTTTTTTGAAGGAAACAATGAGGAAATGGTGTAAAATTTGAGGGTGCTGCTGAATAATTTTGTGGGAGTAACAAGGCTGAGGATAAATTGGACCAAAAGGGGAATTGTAGGGTTCAATTTGGAGAAAGGAGAACTAATACGATTTGCAGAGATCAGAAGCTGGCCTATCAGTTACCTAGGTCTACCCTTAGGAGAAAATCCCAAGTCAGTTGGGTTCTGGAAACCAGTTGTAGAAAGGTTTGATAGGAAGTTAGCCCTTTGGAAGAGGAATTATATTTCTTTGGGTGGAAGAATAACCTTGATTAGAGCCACTCTGGCAAACCTCCCCACCTATTTCCTTTCAACCCTTAGAATCCCTTCTAAGGTAGAAAGGTGCTTAGAGAAGTACATGAGAGATTTCCTTTGGGACCCAGGAGAGGAAAGGAAGGACCACTTGATCAAGTGGGAGAAGGTTAGCAAACCTAAGGAACAAGAGGGTTTAGGAATTGGGAACATCTTGTTAAGGAACACAACTCTACTAGGTAAGTGACTTTGGAGGTTTCCCTTTGAGGGCGACAGACTATGGCACAAAGTGATTGAGAGCATTCATCGGGTGGTTGGAAATGGCTAGGATGCAAAAGTTTCCCCTCACAGTTCTTCAGCTTCTCCTTGGAAAGCAATTCATGAAATCTACCCTACTTTCCTCAATTCCATCCGGTTCGATGTAGGACAAGGTAATAAAATTCTGTTTTGGGAAGATCTATGGGTAGGGGAAACCCCACTAAAAGACTAATTTCTTGATCTCTTTGAGCTATCTAACCTCAAGGGGGAAGCTATATCCATGTTGGGAACACCGTGTCCAAACGGTGTGAACTGGAATTTGGGCTTTAGAAGGGGACTAAGGGAAAATGAGTGTGGGTCTTTAATCCGATTATTGGACCTCCTAGGGCAAATCCACTTGGACCCTTCATTGGAAGACTCTAGAATTTGGGTAGGATCTCTAGACGGCCTCTTTTCTTGCTCCTCTTTCTTCAAAGTACTTGCTTTCCCCAACCTTTTAGATGGGGTTTTCCCTGTGAAAGAAATTTGGTGCAAGCCTATTCCCCCGAAGATCCAAGCCTTTTGCTAGGAAATATTCCTTGGTAAGGTAAACACTTGCAATATGTTGCAGAAAAGAAGGCCATATATTTGCCTTTCTCCTCATATGTGTTCATTGTGTAAGGAAAGTGGTGAGACCCTTTCTCATTTAATGATATCCTGTTCTTTTGTGCACCGAATTTGGGAATTCTTTTGTACTCTCTTTGGCTGCATGTGGGTTCCCCCTCAAGATGTAGCAGGACTCTTCAACCACGAATTCTTGAGACAACGAAAGAAAAGAGGGATGCTAATGTGAAAAGCAACAAAGGCAACAATTTGTTGGGTAATATGGGAAGAGAGGAACAATAGACTTTTCTTGGAAAAAAGTAGTATAGAGGAAGTGATTGATAGTATCAAGGTGAAAGTAGCCCATTGGGTAAAACCCTTGGATAGCTTTCAAGTCTTCTCAGTCACAAACATTCTAAGAACATGGTCCGAAGTAGCACAATCTTCGAGAGTAAGAGATAAAGTAAGGCTGGAGTGGAAACCACCAAAAGGCAATAAAGTAAAGTTGAATTTTGATGGGTGTTCCTTTGGAAATCTAGGCCTCTTAGGAATAGGAGTATTAAGAAACTCTGAAAGGAGGATGTTAGGTTTATTCTCAAGACCGATTGGCACTGGAAACTCGCTGAAGGCTTAGCTATTGGCATTACTGCAAGGGTTAAAGCTAGCCAAACAGCTAGGGTGCAGACATGTTGAAGTGGAAGGGGACTCAAAAGTAGTAATTTCATGGGCAGCAAACAGAAGACATACCCCATGGACGTTTAAACATGTGATTAGGGAAGTGGAGAAGATTGCAAAGGAGGTTGAGGTTGAATTTAAATGGGTCCGAAGAAGTGCAAATGGGCTAGCTGGTGGTTTAGCAAAACGGGGGGCATTGAGACAACAATTATTTTGGGCTGCACTGTAATGGGGGATAGAATAGAGTGATTAAAGGGGATCAACAATTCCATCACCAAGTTGTGCTCAAGATTGAACAGACACTTAAAAGGAGAAGGAAAAAAATAAGAAAAGAAGAGGGAGAAAAGAGAGAGAGAGCTCGAGAGAGATTTTGATAAAAGAGAGTTGAGTTGATGTGTTTAAACAGCCGCCCCCCCTCTTAAATTTATATACATAGTATCATACTTGTAAAAGGACTGAATTGCTTACATGGCAAGATAAGATAATATAAGATAAGATAAAGCTGAAAAAAAAGACTAATCCTAATCTTATAAAAGACTAGTCCTAATCTTATCATAAAGAACTAATCCTAATCATAACTTATTGCTGACATACGAACAGTGGGGACCACCTTAGTGGGGTCCACATTAGTGTTCTCTACATAGATCTGCTTCTAACTTCTTCCTTGAAACCRCCTTGGTGAGAAGGTTTGCCAACTGCATGTCGGAGGTGATGTATGGAAGACATACTTCTTGAGATGTAACCCTTTCTCTAATAAAATGTCGATCCACTTCAATATGCTTAGTCATGTCGTGTTGTACCGAATTATGGGCTATATTGATGGCAGCTTGATTATCACAGTACAGTATCAAGGGTTTATCATAAACAATACCTAACTCTTCAAATAATGATCTCAACCATAAGATCTCAGCTACACCATTTGCCATGGACCTATATTCAACTTCAGCACTGGAACGAGAAACAACATTTTGTTTCTTACTCCAAGAGACAAGGTTACCTCCTACAAAAGCACAATATCGAGAGGTAGATCTTCAATCATCAACACACCCAGCCCAATCAGCATCTGTGAAAACTTCTATCTTCTTGTGATCATTATTCTTGAATAAAATGCCTCTACCTGTGCACCTCTTCAAATATGCTAGTATCCTCTCAACTGCAAGGAGGTGAGTAATCCTAGGAGAGTGGATATACTAACTAACCACACTGACTGCATAACTGATGTCGAGTTGAGTAAGACAAAGATAGAAAAGTTTTCCAACTAACCATTGGAACATAGCTTTATCTTCAAGGGGTTCTCCACCCTCTGCACTGATCTTGTGATTTTGTTCAATGGGTGTGTCAGCAGGCTTAACACCCAGCTTTCCTGTTTCTTCCAACAGGTCAAGAACATACTTTCTTTGATAAACAAAAATCCCATGCTTAGATCTGGCTACCTCAATGCCCATGAAGTATCGTAGTTCTCCCAGATCTTTTACCTCAAAACTCTTGATGAAGGAGTTGCTTAAGGGACTCAATCTCAGTATTATCATTTCCTGTTACTACAATATCATCCACATATACAGCAAGCAAGGTTAAGGAGGAATACACTCTCTTAATAAACAAGGTGTGGTCTGACTGGGCCTGTACATATCCGAACCTTTCAAGGGCTTGCCTAAATCTATTAAGCCAAGCTCCGAAGGACTGTTTTAGTCCATACAAGGCTTTATTCAACCGACAAACCTTCTTTCCTGTCTTTGTACCATAAAATCCAAGAGGCAACTGCATGTAAATCTCTTCTTGCAAGTCTCTGTTGAGGAAGGCATTTTTAACATCCATCTGATACAACGGCCAAGAGTAATTGGCTGCTAATAAGACTCTGATAGTGGTCATCTTTGCTACTGGTGCAAAAGTTTCCAAATAGTCAATACCATATGTCTAAGTAAATCCTTTTGCAACTAACCGGGCCTTATGCCTTTCAATAGAACCATCAGCGTTATGTTTCACAGTGAATACCCATCTACATCCAACCGGTTTCTTACCTTTAGGCTGATCAACTATCTCCCAAGTATTGTTTCTGATGAAGGCATCCATTTCTGCTTTGATTGCATCTTTCCATTCTGGTACTTCCAAAGCTTCCTATATCGTTCTAGGCATGGGAACATTGGCAATGGATGCGAGAAAAGACTTATAGGAGGGAGACAAATGATCATAGGACAAAAACTGATAAATGCTGTGAGTTGTACATGTGGTGCAACGATGCTTGCCCTTACGAACTGCTATGGGAAGATCAAGATCATCTAATGAAGGTGAAGGCTCCATGGTGGGATGTCTTTCATCTGTAGTATCTGTGGTACCTGGATCTGGCTCTGCAGAAGGAACTGGGGCTACTATGGTATCGGGATTTGGATCTGCAGAGGAAACTAGGATTGTCCTACATTGTTGATGTCCGAAGTCAACCTGTCTCCATCGTCTATGATATACTCTCACATCTCTGCATCTCTGACAGCCCTCCCCATTACACCCCTCTTCACTTAATGGGATAAGTAAAGGAACTTCTAATGAACTCCATCCTTATTACTCTCTCCCTGAGGAGAAACCCTTGGATGATAGGGTACATCTTCAAAGAAAGTGACATCCATTAAGACAAATCCTTTCCCAAAAGTAGGTTCATAGCAGCAATATCCCTTTTAAGTTTGTGCATAACCAAGGAAAATACATTTTGAGGCCTTAGGATCAAACTTGGAACGATGAGGGCCAAGAATCTGAACAGAGCATGTACAACCAAAGGTTTTAAGGGGAATGGTAAATAACTCTTTATCAGGATATAAGAGGGTAAATGGAGATTTCATGTCAAGAACCCGTGAAGGAATCCTATTGATGAGATACACTGCTGTAAGAACAACATCCCCCCAGAAACGTATGGCACATTGGAGGTAAACATAATGCTTCTGGCTACTTCCAATATGTGTCTATTCTTTCTCTCAGCAACCCCATTTTGTTGTGGTGTATGAGGATAGGTACTCTGATGGATAATCCCATGTTCAAGCAAATAGGAGGCTAATGGGTTTGCAAAATTATTTTTTCGCATTATCATATCTAAAAATTTTGATTTTGACCCTAAATTGGGTTAAAATCATCTAATGAAAGACTCGGATTAATGTTGGAACTCATCTCGAGAACGCATGAGATAAATCCACGAAAAACGAGTATAATCATCAACAAACAGTAGGAAATATCTGTACCCCCCCATGGTACAGATTAAGCTATCCTTGTTGCTGCCCTCAAAAAGGAATAAGACCTTACCCAGGAATTTCTGAGAAAAAAACCTGATCTTGATTCAAAAAATTCTTGCTGAAATTATGATCGCCAACTTCAGTTTACTCAAAACTGATCTTGATTCTGATCAACCCGAGAAACTTCTGAAACAGAACTGATCTCGGAGAAAAATCTTCTTGATCGCCAACTTCAATCTTGATGAGAAACCCAAAAAATCTGATTGGCACCTCCAATCTTGACCAAAGACCTAACCTTGATCACTTAATTCTCCTTTGGTTCTTCCTGATTACAAGGAGCACTTTCCAATCCTGGGACAATTGTTGAAGACTTCTTCTAATCTCCAAGAATCAGTCGAATGAAAAAACTCAGCCCTAAATAATTCTCATGTGGTCGGATGAATTAATTCCACATGAGAAACCCTAGATCGAATGCTTTGATACCAAGTAGTCACCCAAGATTGAACAAACACTTAAAAGGAGAAGGAAAAAAATAAGAAAAGAAGAGGGAGAAAAGAGAGAGAGAGAGATTTTCATAAAAGAGAGTTGGGTTGATGTGTTTAAACAACCGTCCCCCTCTTAAATTTATATACATAGTATCATACTTGTAAAAGGACTGAATTGCTTACATGGCAAGATAAGATAAGATAAGATAAAGCTGAAAAAAAAGACTAATCCTAATCTTATAAAAGACTAGTCCTAATCTTATCATAAAGAACTAATCCTAATCATAACTTATTGCTGACATACGAACAGTGGGGACCACCTTAGTGGGGTCCACATTAGTGTTCTTTAAATGTCTAAACTGCTTACAATCTAAATTTTAATAAATACATGTTTACATGTAAAAAAACAACCGACAAAAAGAAGGATGATTCAGATGGCATGTCTATCCAGAAATTAGCAGAAAGAGAGGTAACAATCGGAAAAGGCCTAGGCTTATGTTTTTGGGGCGGCGAGGAATTTGCTAGAAGGGCCTTCAAGGAGTTTGAGATGAAAAGAAGGGATGAAAAGTTGAATAAAAGAGCTCGACTGAAAGAAGGCAAGGTTTGGGACGAGGAAGATTCTGGGCAAGAAGATGCTCTAGTGGACAAAGATTGAGGCTGTGTTCATATTGCAAGTAGAGGCTTAGTTGGCTCGGCAGTCAGTATGGTGGTGGTCTCAGCTCTAGGGGTTTCCTTTTTAGCGTCTGGGGCTTGTAGCTGTCCTTAGGTAATGTGTGGTTTTTGTATTTTGGGTTGGTTATGGTCGCTGTGTAAGGGTCTTTTGGATGTGCCTCTTTCTTGGGTGATATCTTATCACCTTTCTTTTGTACTCTTTTCTTTTAATAAATCTTTTTTTTTTCTGATTCTTTAAAAAAAGGCAAATCCTCTTCTCAACTATTCTGTTTTTTCCTTGTCTCTTCTCAAATTTGTAAAGCTATCTGCCAACTAGAAATCCCACATCCTTAGTTATTATGGTTTAAAGCTTTGAGATGCAAGATGACATTTACTGAAGAACCCATCTATACAACATTCAGAACTCCTAGCCCTCCTAGTCTAGCAATTCAGAGCCAACTCATATGTACCTATCCATCAAATAACAATAAACATCGATTTTAGACATTTCCAATCAGAACCGTTCAGGAAATTATTCACGACCATTTGAAATATTTTAAAAGATCTGAAATATAGTTTCATTAAACCACCCTAAAATTTAGCACAAGAGACACTCCAGATAAAACCAATGAAAGTTATTGTTCACCACCCAGCATGTGTAACATTTAAATATATACTAGGATAATAATCTCTATTGCCAACCAAAGGGGCCATCAGAAGCTATCTAGTATCTTCCCATGTTTCTCACAAAGACAGCAGTACTCATTGTAAATGTTTAACAGGAGCCCATATTTCATTTGAAAAACAAAGGTTCAGAAAAGCCAAAATCAGAATAATATCATTTTGAGTCCTAAAAATTTGTCAAATACATAAACTTAGAACCCTAAGATTGACAATGATGTCAAAATCTGGAAATACATAAGAAGCCTGTAAAAAATTATTTCAATCAATATTCAATGAACTAATGGAAATGTATTTATTAACTATACGAGGAGAAAAGCCATCGACTTTTTTTTTGGATTGGAAATATAGGGCGAAGAGTCTTCTATTTCCATCTCTTTGAGCTCCTCCCACTCCCAATAGCCCCACATTATCAAGTAAATTCCCATTGAAATTCAGCTTAACTTTTGCTGTGTAGAAGGTGCCCAACTCTCCTGAACTAAAGGTTTAGACCTTGATGAAGTTGCTACTGCATTCCAACTCCTGGATAAATCGTCAACTGATAACTCCTTAAATAAATCCATTGCTGTCAATCAATTCCTCCTTTGACTTTTCTTTCCCTTGAAAGATCTGGTTGTTTTCTCCTTCTCAAACCACCCATAAAATGAGAAAATCCATAGACTGCTGCCAGATTCCCATGAGGAACTAGTTTTATAAACAATACAAGGCTCTGGTTGAATGCGCATCATATTTAAAAGCCCATCATTTATTTCACTATACATATAGATAAACGGGAGACAAATAAAAGCAAGTGAAGTTTACTCTTCTCTTAGCACTGACAATTGATGATCAATTAAATATCTTTATTGTTTAAAATCTTCGTACAGTAACCATTTTAAAACTTTACAGCACATCTAATCACGATTAGTAACAGCATCCATAACAATTCAACAATATAAAAATGAAAGGTAGACAAAAAAATGCATTATTAACCTAAAGAAATAATTCGTGAGGAAAGTAATCTGGACACTAAGCTTACATTTGAAAGTCTGAATGGGCAAAACTTTGGCTTTCCCTTACGACCATACTTGAGCAGTTGAGCACCTTTTTTCAAAGCAACTAATGCCTGTATACAAGGATCAATTGAAACCTGAGAAAGCTTACAGAAGAAAATATGCAGTGTGACATGGTATTACCATAGAAATCAACAAAGTAACTCTTTAGGTTGAAGTGGATCAACAAGGACCACATGTGCCGAACAGTGTATTCTACACGATAAAGTTGACATTTCACATTTAGTTGTCACTGTCTTAATAATCGAAAGGCCATGATTAAACAATGACAATGAAATCTGTTGTCCCCAATCAGTCATGGTCTTTCCTAATATTCTTCAAGTGTATAATGCTTCCTGGTCAGCTTGACTGACTATATGCATTTGTCATGATTCATTAAGTTCCCATGGTAGTCAGGTAGTGAAAAGTAACTTGAATTTCTCATCTAGAGGTCATAAAGGTAGAATCTCTGTATGGATGAGAAAACTGAAAAGATGCAGTCAAATAAAAAAGTTATTAGGGTTAAGAAGTTCAGCCATTCAACCATAAAATGTGAACATTGTGATGGACACATCTGAAATCTCCAGCACTAAGTTTTCCAGGTTATTCTTCACTCTGTTTACTTCTCTGAACTCTTGTCTTGATCTGCTATATAACCTTCTCGAATTCAAAATAAATCAGTATGGGTGATGGAATGACCATGACTTTGCCTCAATCTCCACAACCCACAGAATACTGTATGTCATATTTGTTATCATTTTCAAACTCTGTAGATATTCTAAACCTCAGATCTGCATCTCAGTGCCTTCTCCCAAATTTTTTAGCACACCTCCAATAATTTCATACAGGCATTCTGCTGAATCTGGAAATTGTATACCTTCATTTTTTTCGTCTTTAATGTTCCCAAGACCATCTGAATTACTTAGAGGCCAACGAAAGGGGGATAAAAATCATTATATGATCATGAAGAACCCAGTAAATGCTTTGTAGGGATAATGTATTATAAATATAACATGCACCACATATTGGGAGGGCACTTCATTGATTCTATTGTTGAGGAATCCATCAATTTAATGATTTTTTAAATCCAAAAATCAATAAATCAATAAATTCTCTCCCCTTCCCATAGCCGAAATCCCCCACGTCTACTTGAATACTCCACTTGCATGTTTCCTCCAAGCTCTATTCTATGTCTAATCAGTAGTCTCCGGGGTCATGTAAGTCCTGTTCCCATACACCTCGCTTACAATTTTCCCGCAGGTGTCAGAACAGAAGAAATACTATTCGCGTACTCAATGAACTCTTTCAACAAAGTAACCTCAATCAATCACATTTAAATATCTAGATAATATAATCATAACACCCTCCCCATGAAGCCCAGGAGATATTCCATAAGTTGGGAACAACTGAGTTCTCATTTTATCTCCTTGATCATCGAAGTATAATCCCTACTAGTTCATTAGTACATTCAAGTTACTTATCAAAAAATAAAATAAAATAAAATAAAATAATAGTCTATTCAAGTTTCAGTGCTTCTACATCATCTACTTTACAAACCAAGATCTACTAATGCAATTGACTGTCAAGATTGACACTGAAACAGATAGCTAGAAATCAAGAAAAGAAACATTAAAAAAAAAATCCAAGCTTTACAACAAAATGCGGAAATTTCGAGACTCACCTGCTCGACGTCTCGTTCTACATTTCCGTAGCTAACAAGATCTGCCATTCCATGTGAGAGACTCTCCGAACCACCTCCCGCATCGATCGTTCAAGAGTTCTGATCATCATAGATGACAAACTTGTATGTGAACTACCATCAATGTACAGCTCCAGAAAAAAGAACTCCTCGCGTCTCCCCCAAAATGGTTAAAAACAGTCGACAAAGACGCAAGCTAATCAGTTCCAAACCCTAGAAATACACAGCTTTCCCGATCTGCAACTCTTCTGCAAACCGAAATCAAAATCCAGACAAGCCAAACCCTAAGAGCTCCATCCAATTCGAAGTCTTCGAACGGTTCCCTTTTTTATTTTTCTTTATTTATTTAGTCTTTTCGGTGCGGAGAAATGCGAGCCGTTGAGAGTTGTGACAGTTGAAATCAGAAATCGTTTTGGACTGAAATAAAGTGTCTTTGAAGTTGACCGCCGTTAGAGAAGACTGGAGAGAAGCGGTTTCCCGACAAGACAGAGACTGTTTCGCGGGAGATAAAAGAACGGTTTTCGGACAGGATTCCGGTAAGAAACCGGAGTTCCCGTCGTCGGAAAACCGAGCGCAGTAAACGGAGGGGGACGAGAGCCGAGAGGAGAAAATCTCTGAAGAAGAGAGAATCGGATTTAACTCCGCGGTCGCGTCCGTGTAAGTACCAGTCAAAGATGAAAAAACATGAAATCGCCTGACTACCAAAATGAAAAAGCGAATGGAGTTTCGGAATAATAGGAGTGAAAAAATAATTCTAATAAAAAGATATATAATTTATTGGATGTATCGGAATCGGGTTGAATGGAGTTTCGGGTCGTCTCGGTACTTTACAAAAATTGAGGAAAGGTGACTGGTGACGTTCTTATTTAGGATATTTTATTGGGATAAAGGGAGATGATAATTCATAATTGTGATCTTTCTTTGCTTTTTGTGGAGCTGGTCTTGATATTTACAAAACTGCCCTTGAAATGAGGAATGTATTGAACTGCGAGCTCAGATTTGGCAGGCGACCTACCTTGATCCATGTGTTCATGGTGATGATGGGGCTGGACCCACAAATGGGTTTCTGAGCAGATTGATTTATCGTGAAGCCACAGAAGCCGTCCGATACGATGACTGCTTTTATTTTGTTCTTTTTGTTTTGTTTGTTCAAAAGAATGAGATCATCCGATGAAGATTCCTGATGTTGGAGTCGGAGATTTTCTATGTGGGACCCCCTAAGTGAACGGTCGTATGACATCGACGTTCAAATCGTCCATGCTAGCTCAGCCGAAGGCAGAATGGTAAAGGGCGTTTCATGTTTGGCTTCGATGTGGTCTCGCTAGAAACAGAGAGGTTGCCTGATATGAGACTATGAGTTCCCTCTTCAAACCGTCCATTTGGTATCGATTTCACCTATCTGCATGGATTTTATATAGAAGACGTCTGATGGTTGATGATGTATGGGAACTTGAATGTGGGAACTCCCACCGAATCATGACTGTTTGCGTGGCCACATGTCGGCCAGCTGCATCAATCATTTCTAGAGAGACCAACTTCTAAGTTCTAAATACCAAGTTACCAACCTGAAGCAAAAAAAAAAAAAACAAGTTACCAACCATCTTTGTCTACCCTTAAAAAAACAAGTACCATTTTTTTTTGACTGGTACGTGGATATGATTCGGATCGGTTCTAGGTATATATATACCTGGATATGAATCAATCAATGAGGCCACGCATGGGCCCAAAGCGGATCCGGTTTAGCTACATCTGAATTGGGTTGTCCGGCAAAAGTTACACGGATCCAGTTTAAGAGTCCAATTCGGGTGATATGATCCGATCCATATATAGCCTTGGCCATATGAGAAAAATGCAATAAGCTCCCTCCACCCTCCACCCTCCACTTATGCAATCAACGGCTGTCGAAGGATGTCTTAGTGGGTCCATACATAGAAGCTAATTACCACTGCACTGACTGTGGAAGCATATATATCGAAGGAAGCAGGAAGCTGACTGATCATCCATACCCAATTGACCCGACGCCATTAACATGTCAGTTGGCCTATCTCACCTAACTCTGCCCATCGAGTGGTTAATAGTGGCTGTTCACGCATGGGACCCTTACTAAATTAAAAGGTGATCCCGATTGGATGACAGTGATTTGACGCAATAAGTTTTATGCCAAATAGTGATTCTGATGGAACAAAAAGTTAAGAAAATAACTTAAATAATTATGGGCCCGTTTGGTTTTCGGGAATAGGGGTGGAATCAGAATCAAATGGCCATTCGGATTCCCATTCCTGATGAATTGCATTCTCCCATTTGAGTGAATAGACATTCCCTCTCGCTCCATGTTCATTCCAATTTCTGCCTAAATTAAACAACTATGAAAATAGACCATTTTTATTCTAAAACATTCCTATTTCAATTTTAATTCGAATTTTGATTGTAAAGCAAATAGACCCTAAAATTTAAAAATAAAAAGGAAAAAAACTGTAGAAAAAATAGTCTCTATCTATGCATAGATAAGAGAGCGCTCCCTTCACGTGAGGACATGAGAGATCCCCCCTCAAATTGAAAACGCATCCTTTGTTTTAGCCTCATCAATCAATGAGGGCACAAGATAATCAATGAAACGACGAATTACATTTGTTTAGTTTTGATTCATTTAAACAAGTCATTTTCCAACCTCAACTAAAATTTTGGCCTATTTAATGCCCAGCGGAAAATCAGCTTTTCTTATATTCACTTTTTTTTTTTCATTTTACAAAAAAAAAAGGAACCATGAAGCTTAGTTCCATATTTACAATAACTCAAGCAAAATTATATTTGAAAATAAAGATAATCTCATCTGTTTCAGCTATATATGGAGAATGATATGAAGTTTTGAATACTAAACTAACCAGATTTGGCTCTAAAATATGGATTTAGTTCATCAAAGCGAGCCCGATTTTTTTAAGTGAAAAAAAAAATTTGATGGAGGAAGATCAAACCAACAAGACTTAAATCTACTTGTTTTAGCTCCCAGAAGAACAAGTCTCCAGAGTCAAAACTTGACAAAGTTAGAGGAAAAAGTAGAAGCAAGAAAAAAAAAGTTTTCTAAGTAGTTTGTTACACTCTTTTTTCGTTAGATAAGCTATCCATTTCTGACATGTGGAGAATGATATAAATCGAAAAAGGCCAATTAAATTAAGACTCTCAAAATTGATTATGCATTTGGGCTGTACTCCACGTATTAGGGGTCGTTTGATAATGGTTGAAGTTGCTAAATTAAATGGCTTTCTTTTTTTCGCTCAAGAGCTAAACTGAATGACTAATTGTTTTGTTTTTTATTGAATACACATTAATGAAATATTAATCTATGGGTCTAAGTTTCAAATGGGCAATAATTAAGAGGAACACCAAGAAGAAAGCTTTGCTATATGGTGAGGGCGCGCTGTGTGGACCGTGTGGTACTAATATGCGTGCATGGTTAATAGAGTGACCCAGTTAATACTTAACAGATAAATTATTTCTTTTCTACGCATGGAAGATCCCAAGTAAACCAAAATTTGTGTTACCACACAACCCTCCCTTGTATTAATATATGTGCCTCTATATGACTCGGGGTCCCATTTTATGACCTCAGCTCCCATGAAATGACACAGGTGTTTTTATACCCTATAGAATGAACAGTGCTCGTACATGCCAGTATATATAATCCTATATAATACAATATTTTAGTTTAGAATTTGATAATTAACACTAATAATAAATACTTAATAATTGCTTATAAGTTTGAAAAGGAAGAAGAAGAAAAGACGGTGATTTGGGCATATCCCCATTAATAAACCCCCACTAATGGTCAAAACTACTTTTTAAAGGACAAAAGTAACCCTCTATGCCAATTTTTAATATTGTTAAAAAGAGGGCATTTTTGGTCATTTTCACATGCATGCACAGCCATGCACCAACCCATTCATCAAAAATGAGATGTGCTCTAGTCAGTACCCTAAATGGAAAGCATTGACATTGCCCTTTTTTGTCACATCCACGTAGGCACACTTTGCAATGTTATTCTTTAGAGTGGTAATCCCAATGAGAGTGGCCTAATGGGTACAAATTGGAAGGATATGAGAATTTTTTTTTTTTCTTTTTTTTTATTGTCTGATTTACACAGTGACATGCTCATGACTTGATGAGAGTGCACTCTATGATGGCTCTTTTCTATTTTGAGGGGCTAGTTACTGTATAGAAATAAGGGGAGGAGGCTTCCAAAGGCTAACTTTACGGGCAAGAAGCCAAAGGTGTAAGGTAAGGTGCCCCTTGAATTGATACACTAGCTATTTAACTTGGTCGGCCCTGTGAATGGCACATTTAGGGACAACCCATCATCATCATGGTCACTATCCCAACTTAAAGTAAATAACATCCAAAATAGTATTCAGTGCTGAGGATGATTAATTACATTCAGTTTCCTAATAGAAAGGTTAAGGTTTTGTGGCCTTGTGGGTGAACTTAAATAGTCTTATATTTGTGGTCTTGTGAGAAGGAGAGAGAATAATTTGGCATCGAATAATGCTATTAATATAATTTATATAGATTAGAGTTTGTTTGGATGATCTGTGACATGACCCTACATTAAACGACACGTGATTTTAATTTTCTTTCCTTTCTCTCTTGTTTGTTTTCTCATTGGCATATCTAGGCACAGGGTGCATGCGATCCGAGTCTCTGCCACTAGTTGTGACTTGTTAGATCAGCTGATTGACGGAAAATAGTTTGAGATTCTTGATTAATTTGGAAAATGCCATAGAACACGAATGCTAAATCTCCTTTGGTTCATGAACCTAATTACCCACCCAAATATGCTGACATATGAATCAACTGGATCAAGCTAGTATTCCAAAACATTTACAAACCTTCCTCTTGGATTAATACAAGAAGAGTAATCTTTAAAAAATTTAGAAAACCTAGACAAACTCCTATTTGCTCTGTATATATTATATGTACTAAACATGAATACAGTGGCCAACTGATGGGTTTTTTTAGTCGGTAGGGTTGGTTGCCGGGGCTTGTCGCAGTAGAGAGACTTGGGACTTAATCCCACTGCCACCAGGGGTTGGGGGTTATGGGTATGGAGGATGGGCCATCCCAATTGTGTAGCCCAATGAATCAAAATGTGTTCTCTCTCTTTCTCTCTATATATGTATGTATATATAAGTATCCATTCCTTTAATAGTGGATTTTGAAGGATCTCTCCAATTATCAACTGAGAAAATTATAGAAAAGAATATCAGTGGATACATATTGATTGATACCAAATTTTTGGTATCAGTGCATATGGATTTATCCTTGATTTTGATTTTACTTGTATAACCATATATGCACCAAGACTTAGAAACTAACTAGTACGATGAATTTAGAACAAAATGCTTAGCGATTGCAAATTGTGTTTGAAATTTAAACAATAAGGGAACAATAATACAATGAGGTTGCGTGGCTGTTCTCTCGTCCAAAGCTATGAGCTGCTCTATTCAGCCGCCATGGGTTTCATGCAAAGGATCAGGACCCAAAATATCAAGCAAGTTCTTCTACAAATTTAGTGATGGGATTGTCCATGGCTCTATGCCAAGTATCAGAATGGTCATAAACGAACATATGGTTCAGTTCATCAAGAACCAAAGGCAAGAACAGAATTTATACAAGGCTCCAAATAATCTGAGCATGTTACGTAGTAGAGACCAATTATCATGCGTCCTCTACATGCATGTCAACTTTATA